ACGAAATAAAATTTGTGGAAACGAAATAAAAATTCAAGGAAACGAAATAAAATTCGTGGCCACGAAATAAAAAAATCGTGAGAACGAAATAAATATTTGTGGGAACGAAATTAAATTCGTGGCCACGAAATAAAAGATAAAGAATCTAGTGTATTGACAGATCGGGTTCGTAATTTAGACGCCAATGTGTGCATAGACGCGCGCGCGGATCTGTAGTCAAAAAGCCGAGAAGATATGTTATTTACAAGTTACTAAGCTTATGCCCAGTGCATTTTTCAATGTATTTCACTCAGATGTGAAATTAATAGCGTGTAATTGTAGGGCTTTTTAGCTATCACTCAAAGTTTATTTATTTAAAGAACAGAGGCAGAGTAGGCCCCTATTATCGGCAACGTGATATCTTAAAAAGGAAAGCTATATTTGTCCCCCGCTTGAAAAGTGGGGGATATTAATTTGGGTTTGTCCGTCCGTCCGTCTGTCCGTCCGTCCGTCCGTCTTTCTGTCTGTCTGTAACGCTTTCGTTTCCACACGATATCTCGAGAACCCTTTGAGCTTTTGCAATGAAGTTTAGCATAGCAACTCCCTATGGACTAAAGAAGACCCCTATTGATTTTGAGGTCAAAAGGTCAAAGGTCAAGGTCATAAATAAGCAAATTCTGTCTGTTAAAACACTTTCGTTTCCACACGATATCTCGAGAACCATTTGAGCTATCGCAATGAAATTTTACATAACAACTCCCTGTGGCCTAAAGAAGACCCCTATTGATTTGGTCAAAGTTCAAGGTCGTAAATTTATACATTCTGTCTGTGTGTAACACTATCATTTCCGGGCGATATTTCAAGAAGATTTTGGGCTTATGCAATGTAATTTTATACCAAAACTCCCTAGGACGTCTCTCGCTCCTCTCAAAGTGCCCCGCCCCGTTTGTTTTATTAGTATTTATAGTATTACATGTCGCTATTTTTAGCGCAGGGGCATGAGGAGAGTTATTGCGTATAAAACAGGTTCTCGGCGGACTTTATGTTCTTATTACATCTATTATAACTGTTTAATAAAGGCTAAATAAATCAAACACCATGGATTGTGTAAAATTTTGAGAATACCGAACGTGAAAACATGAATATATACATGTATGTGACTTCAGTTCTGCATATACTTCATTCCGTGTAAAGCGACTCCTTGGTCTAGTGGTTATGTCTCTCGCTTCAAATGTGAGAGGTCCCGGGATCGAATATTGGTCGAACCTTTCTTTTTTTTTTTTTTAAATACTTTTTTTTTTAACTAAATGATAGTATTCAGCATGTGAAATGAAAAATTTATGAGGTTATAAAATCATCATTACAGTGTGATAAATATTCCATATAAAAAAATCTTCTATACACATAATAAAGAATAAGCAATCAAATCTTTATATGCATATTGACATACATGTATTTTATTTCCTTCAGTATACATTTAATAATTCTACAAATTCAGTCAGGGGGAGCCGACTTTTTCCTTAAGCGGGGGACACGAATTCTCTGAATTAGCTTGTTAAATATTGTCATGAATGTTTTCACTTATAAAACTCAACTGTTTAATACAAATGAAAGTTAATGTTCATTAGTAAAAGGTAATTGTTTAAGAAAAAATGCGATGAACTAGTGAGATCAGTATTGATTCTATTTATAGGTTAAATTAATGGTCACCACAATGTTCATCAGCTCGTCATGCAATTAACCGGCAAAAATAAAATTTCAATAACTAATAATGACGATTCAGGCACAGAATTCATTACCCATAACGATGTGACATTGAACAATTTTGAATAATTTTAAACAGATATCCCATTGACTCATTCCAATTGAATGATGATAATATATAAGTCCATTCATCTTGAATGACATAAAGAGAAGAAGCTAAAAATGGTTTTATAAAGCATAACTTTATTCCGTGGCCACGAATTTTATTTTGTTCCCACGAATTTTTATTTCGTGGCCTCAAATTTTTATTTGAATTTGTTCCCACAAATTTTATTTCGTGGCCACAAATTTTAATACGTTCCTACGAATCTTTATTTCGTAAACCACGAATTTTTGTTTCGTTGCCATGATTTTTATTTCGTGCCACGAATTTTATTTAGTTTCCACGATTTTTTTGTTTCGTTGCCATGATTTTTGTTTCGTTGCCATGGTTTTTATTTCTCGGCCACGAATTTTATTTAGTTTGTCTTTTGTATCTTACTTTCCTGCATTAGACAAAGTAATACGTTATTAAAATCGTTACTGAGTGATGTGTAGCATGCGTCCGTCTACACCCGTGTCGACTGAATACACTGAACAGTGCCCTATTAGTATAAGGATTCTCCGAACAAAAATGGCGGACATTCCTTTTACGAATCGTGTTCAGCTTTAAAGGTACTTGGACACAGATTTGAAGTCAATATTTTCTCTATAATATTACGACTTATATATTTTAATAGCATTTCGCACAAAAAATTAATTAAAAATCTTATTTCATTTAAAAGTTATTAAAACTTAAATTGTTTGGCGGGTTTGATTGACACATTCTTGCACTTTCACAAATTTTACGATTTTTGCAAGTGTAAGGAGTGTGTCAATCAAACCCGCCATAAAATTTAAAGTTTTAATAACTTTTAACTGAAATAAGATTTTTTAAATTAATTTTTGTGTGAAATGCTATAAAAATATATAATCCGTGATAATATACGGAAAATATTAACTTTAAATTGTGTCCAAGTACCTTTAACAACCGAGGCCCCTTTATCACGGTAGGCGATGGCACGATAAAGAACCTTCACTGTTCAATGGCCCTGAGTGCCGACTAAATTTGAAAGGTTATGCTTCATAGTTCATTCAATAGACAAGGTCATGTTCTGATTCAAGGATATAAAGATTCAAATTTTGTAAATTCTATGGCTGATACAATGACCTTGTTAGAAAATACAATTTACGGTTAAGCCAAAGGTTTATTGACATTTTTCATACAAATTGTAAACCCATTATTTATTGTCTACAGATTTTAGCGTTTGCCCGAGACCAAGAGTAAATAGTGGATGTGAATGATTAACACGGGATGCTTACTCCTCCAGTGCACCTGACCCGACCTGTCATGTTATTTCGGCTTTCCTTCCATGTAGTGTTCAAACAGAATTTTAAGTTTGATAACTGTGCGGTAACACAATATTTCATTAACATGATTCGATAAATTCTCTTGCTCGATCAGATAACTTCTTTCCTCTCTTTCATTTGTACTTAATGCATGATTTTTTGAAGCACGCCCATCGATGAAACAATAGCTTTTAACAGAAATCACGTGTTTGTTTTCAAACATTTATAATAGCTTTAAACAGAAATCATGGGTTTGTTTTCGAACATTCATAATCCCGTGGGGATCCGGGTTAGAATAGGTCCTCAGTACGCCCTTGCTTGTCGTAAAAGGCGACTAAATGGGGCGGTCCTTCGAATGAGACCGTATAAACCGAGGCCCCGTGTCACAGCAGGTGTAGCACGATAAAGATCCCTCCCTGCTCAAAGGCCGTAAGTGCCGAGCATAGGCCTAAATTTGCAGTCCTTCACCAGCAATGGTGACGTCTCCATATCAGGGAAATATTCTGGAGAGGGACGTTAAACAGTATACAATCAATCAATCAAACATTTATAGTTTCGTCTCGGACAAAAAAATTAAGATGTAAATATTTTTCGATCAACCCAAGTTCATGCACGTAATACACATGTTCTTTTACATAGGAAACATAATTATCGAGGAAATGTTCTAGATCTGCTTCATTTGTTTAACAAATTCGGAAATTAAGAACATCCGACTCGAATGAAAATTATACTCATGTATGTTATTTGTGATTTTTTGTTTAGAAGGGTCAGTGTCTTGTTTTGCTTTGCATTTGCAACAGTTTTTTTTTCCGAGATAAATACAAATAATCTACAGTGCGAGTAAGATTTCGTTTATTTTTTCAAGACATAGATTTTGTTCCGTCCCTCATTTTTTTCGTTCTGTTTCTGGTGATGAGTTTAAGAGTCCGTCTCATCAACCAATCTGAAAAATACATGGTTTAAAAATTAATAATAAGACCATTTTTCAATGCATTTCAAAAAGATATAACGCAGGTATCTCGCAAAATGCAATTCGGCTCTAAAAATATTTCAAAGAAGCTTTTATATAATTTATATCTTCCCAAAAACACAAGGACCACAATGTTCATCCTGTTACTTAAAGCATATTCTGATCACCCATGTTATAATTTTTCAATATAACCAATATTAATTATACATGGACATAGATTTTTCATCAACTCAGTGTGTAATAAATTGAAAAATAAATAATGTATACAATATAAACCCAAAGTATAAGAATATTTCTTGAAAATTCTCCGTATATTGACTTGATTTGAAAACAAAGAACAAATATCAACTCACTGTATAGCATTATCGGTAGTCTTCAGAAAAAGCTCCCATAATAAGGCCCTGTCGATATATAAATTTATTGACTAACACTTTATGTTCAATTTTAAATATCAAATTAAAGTAGAGACTTAGTACTTTCATTTCCTATTCAATTTCTCCCTTGAATTTAAGCTTAAGATGTTTCATGATCCGGGGCCAGGTCTTGGAACATAGGCTTCAAGGAATTTCAATGTTCTTGAATTTAAATGCAAACAGGTATATTTGAGTACTTTCAGAGACGAAAAATCGTATGAGCGCACCCTATGATATAAAAAATAAAACATGTGTTGTAATCCACTGTAACAGTTTTATCATTTATTACCTGATTATTTTAGATCAGAGGTTGCGCTCTATATTAAATATTGAAAAATATCTCACAAAATTGGCTGTTTTGTGGACTTTCTCAGAATACGAGGAATTGACGTATTTTGTGACGTCAAAATGCATTGACTAGGCAGAACATTACTTCATTTTTGATAGACTTGGAGTCACCAAAGGTCAAAATGATATTTGATATACATCATTAACCAAATGTATTCAGTTTAAGCTTTTCAGAAATTCTCAGGGCCAAAAAAGCCATAAGTGAACCTTGTTCTTCATGAAACGAAATAAAAGAGTTTTTAAATTTTTTATATTCATTTTATCGACTTTCAACATCTAGCACACAAAACATTTTTAATTTACATGCTTTTGTGAACAATTACTTTTAAACAATGGTACCAGATAGAAATAATTTATCAATTCTATTTTCAGAAAGACACTCCCTTTTGCACGAAAAGCAAGTTGTTAGCATGTTTTAAGTAAGGTAAAATCTTCTGTTTTTTAACCCCAAGAGCTTTTTGGGGGGATGGGGGTTGACTCAAGATTGTATCAAGAAAACAGGTGTAGAGACTTCTCTGTTTAAGAAATTCTTTTGAGTCTTACTTACATGTGACGTACAAAATGAACTTCCATAACACAGGCAAACCATTTTGTCGGGAACGCTAGTTTAAATAAGCACTGATTGTAAAATCTTTCCGTATTTTCTTTACTGAAGGTCAAGATATAGTAAATGTCTTTAGACAAACTTTCTGGTGCCAGACCCATTATAACGTCACAATCACTTTAAACTTTCTTTTTCCCGTACTCTACGGCTCTAATAGTATTATGTAGAAAATTTGCATTGAATTCAATTTGAAATTACATGAAAAGTAGTCCCGATACCTATATTAAATTTGACAAATATTTTGAAGAAGAGGCCAAGAACTTACAAATTACTGTCTTCGGAAAGACTATAGGCAATCTGGATAAATTTTCGTCGTCTAATATGGAAAAAAACTCCCATATTCACGAGTGGTTTTTCTTTTTAATTTTCCATTTAAAATAACAGTTTAAGAAATGATTTTTCATCTTATTCTTCATCCAATTATGCCCCGAAACACCTTACATATATTTGACCTAGCTTAAGTTACAGCATAAGGCATAATTTAAAGGAATATATTTCTTAAATTTGATATTGCTCTAGGGTCCGTGTAACACTTAACAATTCAAATTTTTTAAACGATTTAGAGTTTTAGAATGCTGATATAATGGTTCAAATTTCTTAATTTTAAAAACTCACACTGATTTTGTATATTGGAATTTAATATTTTAGTTCAAAACCTAAATTTTTAAAATTTCCAAACTGGTTTTAGAATTTTAATTTTTTAGATTTTTAACTTAAACATTCAAAATTTTAATTTCCAAAAACAAATTTTGTATTTAAACTTTTGAGTTTTTAATCTACCGTTTGTTTAGAAAGTTTACGCTTAACAATCTTAAGTCTGTACAGTTTTACGACTTTTGATATTTCAAACTTTACTTCAAACTTCTATATTTCAACTTTCAAAACAATTTAGATTTTTTGAAATTTAGAATTTTGATTCAAACATTCAAATTTCAAATTACCAAAACATTTTTTTAGATATTTACTTCAAATATCCAAAATATCAAATTCCAAACCTGGTTTGAATATTGAAACTATCACAAAAGCACTTTTCGTTCAGCAAAAGAGCTTTAAGATACAATGTAGTTAGAATATTGAACTGATCTTCAAAATTCAAATCGGGTTTGGAATTAAAGTAAAATTCTAAAAATCAAAGTGTTTAGGTTATTTGAAATAAGAACATTTGAATCAAAATTCCAAATTTCTTAAAATCTTAAACGTTTCTAAGTTGGATTTTAGAAGTTTGAATCTAATTTCATATAATCAAAAGACGAAAAAATATTACCGAAATATAGATTGTTAAGTGTAAACTTTCTTACCAAACGGTAGACTAAAAACTCAAACGTTTAAATTACAAAAATAGTTTTTGGAAATTTGAATTTTGAACATTTAAGGTAAAAATCTAAAATATTAAAATTTCAAATACTGTTTATAAATTTGAAATTTTAGGTTTTCCAAGTAAAATGTTAAATTTCAATATACCAAATCAGTTTGAGTTTTTTGAAATTTAGATATTTGAACTAATACATTAACAATCTAAAACTCTAAATCTTTTTTAAAATTTGAATTTTTAAGTGTTACACGTAAGCTTTTGACACATTTCATTTACTATATAGTGAACTTGAAGTAATTCAAGTGATTTTCTAGTTAAAAGGAATTTAATGAAAACATGCTAACGGTTAAAGAGGCATGTGGAGGATGCTTCATCGGAGAGGTGCTAAAACGTTCTGTGAAACATTACTAGTCGCATAATTGGGAGCAACTATCTACTAGATATAACAAATTATGAAAATACTACGTGTTTCAATAAATAGTTAAAGGATCGGTTTCAACTGAATTTGTGATATAGTTTGGCTCAGGTTTATACTAGTCAAAGTTTCAAAGTTTTAAAGTTACAATGTATCTCATACCTGGATAACATTTTCCAAAACGGCAAAAATCTCCTAGGTTAGGACACGGCTTATACTATTTTACAAAAAAAAACAAATCTCATTCAAAAGGAATACAAGTAATATGAAAATCGTTTTGAGAAATAAAACACCATTTAAATTTTTATTTGTGATTCAAAGATTTTTTTTTTGAATATGAAAGTACAAATGTATGTTAAGATTAATTAATAGTTACCGGTAAGAAGGAACATTCCCGATGACCTGAAATGAAAGAAAACTGTTACTGCTTATGAATAGAAGATACTTATTAGTGATAAAGGCAAGATTTGTTTAAAAATATAATTCTACTAGGGAAAACAATCTATGAATATAACGTGTTTTAATAAATAGCTAAAGGATCGGTTTTAACTGAATTTGTGATATAGTTGACTCAGTTTTATACTAGTGAAAGTTTCAAAGTTTTAAAGTTACAATATATCTCATACCTGGAATACATTTTCCATATTGACAATAATCTCCTGGTTTAGGACACGGCCTATACTATTGTACAAAGAAAACAATCTCATTCAAAAAGGAATACAAGTAATAGGAAAATCGTTTTGAGAAATAAAACACCATTTAAATATTTATTTGCGATTCAAAGATCTTTACTCTTTTAAAAATATGAAAGTACAAATGTATGTTGAAATTAATTAATAGTTACCGGTATGAAGGAACATTCCCGAGGACCTGAAATGAAAAAAAAACTGTTACTGCTTATGAATAGAAGATACTTATTAGTAATAAAGACAAGATTTATTTAAAAATATAATTCTAAGTAAATATTATATTTCACAATAAAACTTTATCCAATAATGTTTTGTGAAGGGATGTTCTCAGTTCTACTCTATGTTAGATTTGTAAGCTTCAAACAAGAATGTAGAAACTCAGGTTTTACGCTATGACTTGAGTTAGTGTTGAGTTGAGTCTATGCTATTAATTAAGAGATGCTCAATCTTAATTTTACAAATGAAATAATATAGCTACTGTTGTAGAAGATATAAAATCATATTAAGTTTTGGAGATGGGGGGTCATAAAAGTACAATGGAAGCTGGATGTTCTCGAGTCTGTAGGAAATTACATCATCCCATATCCTCCTCCACCAGAAAGAACAATTAATAATTGAAAGGTTAATTTAATACCGTATTTATTACTTACAGGTAAACATAACCTTCTTCAGACCAGATACTTGTTTATTTCAACTAGTTACTTACATGTGTATCTACTGATTAACTAAAATTCTATCTGTATAGATACTTTGAGGGGGATGTCCGACCAAACAAGAAAATGTAAACATTTCTTGAATGGCTAAAATGCATGTTGATCAAATTTTAAGTCGTTATGATAAAGATACAATAAATATGCATAATTGAATGCATTTTGTGCATATATATATCTATACTTTTGCAGAAAAATGCTTTTGATATGCTACTTAGATTTGCGCAGCTACAGAATTCAGCAGAGCCTTAAAAATCCAAAAAATATGCAAAGTGTGCATTAATGTTCTCTCTACAATCGTTTGTTGAGTAAATATCTACATTTTGCACTTTGAAATGGTAATTTCAAGTTCAAAACAAGATATTGTTGTGTTCAAAATGAGTGTAAAGAACCATGAAATTAGTTGATGGATAGCAGCACGTGGTCTATTTTTAGCACAGAATTTTTTTTACAGACTTCTTCTTAATATGGAGGTACATAATTATCTTAATAAGTAGAAGAGAATTACAGTTGCAAAATGTTTATAATAATAGATAAATAATATGAACACTTTAAAAAGAGGAATTGTGTTATAGTATGGCTTAAAGTAATTAGTATTATTATCGAACAGTTGTTAAATAGTGTACGTGTTGATATAAAAAAAATAATCTCTCTGATTCCAACTAAGGAAAAATGAGCACCATCAAAGTTAAGAGTTTGTAAGTCTGACACAGATAACTAATTTTATCTACCAAAATCTTAATTATCACCAATGAAACACAAAGAAAATTAGACACATAAAATCGATATGAATGACCTTGTTTTAGTACCTGCTAATATACTGTATTATGGGCAGCGGAAAGGGCAAAAATTACCATAATGAGAAAACAAACAATTATTTTAATTTCAATAACCATAAAAACTTAACAAATGATATACAATGCAAAATCAACAGACCTTTTCGCAGAACAAATATACATTAAAGCAAAACCAACGACCACGTACGTAACAAACATATATGAATGTAAAACCAACGATCTTTGCAGTAAAAACGTACGTAAAAACGCGCGACAAATGAAAAAGACTTAAGGTGGCTCAATACATCCACGGTTTATTTTATATTTCATTACTTCACCGCTTATAATGTAGATGTCAAATATCAAGAACGAAGTATTGATATCATAAATATTTTTTGGAGAATTTTTTGGCTTTTGTCTAATTTTAGTGAAATGTTTTATTTCAAGTTTATTATTACCAGATTTTCAGAACTTTCAGTGTCAAATGATGGGCATCTTCTTAAGAAAAGTATACACAGTGGAAATACCTCATAATACCTAATATCAATTTTATTACAAAAAATAATTTTCTCCTAGAAAAACAATTAATGTCATTATCTTTTTAATCTGTGCATAAAACATTAAGAAAATGAGTTCTGAAGAGACAAGGAATGTATTTCAATGAATTACATGTGACAAATTGAATGAAGAATGTTTAAACGAAACGAACATTCCAATTTAAAAAAGATATTTGGTATAAAAAGTCCACTTTCAAGAGTTATCTTTCCTAAATAGCCAAGTCTCAAAACACTAAGGAACGTTTGAACATTACATCTAAAATTAAGAACAAAGCTTTAAATTTCTACAGTATATATTTAAATCAAGAAAGCAAATGTATAACTTAACACCAACATTGTAAATAGTGCAAGTAAATAACTTTTTTTTTAAATTTCAATAAGGTTGTAGATTTTAACTCGAATTTCCTCCATACGAACATGTCACTGATAGAGCTCACTGCAAGCATCGCTATGAAATTGCACATTACTTGTTTGGCGAAGATTTGGCTGTTGTTTTTCTTTTGTTTCTGCTTAAAAGCAATCCTTCTTGGTTTAATGCATAATGAATCCGTTACTTTGTTTTCACTGTTCATAACACCGCATGTTTCTTCTAATTATAAAGCGTTTTAAAGGACATGGTCATATATCTTAATCGTAAGACAGTTCATTCACAAGCCTGGATCGAGAATACCTTTATGCAATCATAGAACAAATAATCACATGATATTAATACAAAATACAGAAAAAATTTGAGAATTACAAGACTAAAAGAGATCAATATTTTAAAGCAAACGTTTTATTTAATATTACTGAAGAGTATGTTCAAATATTACACATTGAAAATGCTAACATTATATGCTCTCAGTGTCGAAAAAAGAACGGTAACAATTTATTAAAATGAACCATTTTCTTTAGCAATAATATAGCATCTATCTCGCCCATATGCGAATAAGATGCTTTTATCTTGGCAGCGCAATATTTTTTGGCGCAGTTATCTCTCCTTGTTTCAGCACGAGTTATCTAACTTTCAATTATATAAAGAAAGGTGCTCGTGCTGAAAACTCTCTCTTTGCCGGTTACACGCTAGTTGCAAGGGTGGTGTTAATCAAATTTGAGAAAACAATGGCTAAGTTTAGATTTTAGAAATCCCTCTCTACCCTAATCCCCCAATTGTACATTGTTGAATAGATACTGCTGGTTTCTGTTTTTTCTTTTCAGTGGAAAATTTTAGAAAGCAAATGGTCATTTATACCTACATATTCAGCATGGCTGTCACTTCTGAAGATGGAATGCGCACTGACATTTCTGAGTGTTACATAGCGAGTGGCCATTTATACCTACGTATTCGGCATGGCTGTAACTCCTGAAGATGGACTGCGAACTGAGTTTTACAAAGCAAGTGGTCATATGTACCTACATATTCGGAACCACACTCACTTCTGAAGATGGACTGCGAACTGAATTTTACATAGCAAATGGTCACCTGTACCTACATATGAGGCACGGCTGTCACCTCTGAAGATGGACTGCGAACTGAACGGCATAATCACTTGAACTATGATGTAATATGGGTTCATTATTGGACCGCTGCACCACACAGGGTCAACGTTGAATACCATGTAAATATTGTGACAGTATAAACAAAACTATTTCATTTTTATTTTCTTCCTTGACTTCTACACCTCCCAGAGTCATGGATGTGTGAATATTATTCTAAATCTTGCATTCAGTGTAAACAAAACTATTTTATTTTTCTTCCTGGACTTCTGCACCTCCCACAGTCATGGATGTGTGAATATTATTCTTGCATTGCAAGTTTTTATTATTTGACCTTGGCTTCTGCATCTCCAGGGGTCAAGGTCACCCAGTATGTTAATGTTGTACTGAAATGTTTGTTGACCTTGGCCTCTGCATCTTCCAGGGTCAAGGTCACCAGATATGTTGATGTTGTACTGAAATGTTGTTGTTGAACTGAAATATTGTTGTTGTTGAACTGAAATGTTGTTGTTGCTGGGCCTACCCTTTGCTTTGGAGGCCCGAAATAATATGTTGTTATATTATTCAGCCGTGTCCAAAAGGGCCAAATAAATAAAAAACCCATTAAAAAATGTTTTTGATTTATTGCGTCTGCCCAAGATAATAGATAATTAAATTCTTGAAAAAAAAAAAACGATTACAATTCTTTATATAAGATAACGCTTTCTAGTTCCTTTCACTGAAAGCTTTTCGAGAATAGTTTGAAGTTTAGTTTAGAATTTCTTCGATATCTGTGATGAACCATCAAGTACTCAATATGTATGCGATCATTTTCTATCTTACCATCAACAATAAAAAAAAATGAGTTGGCCAGTAGTAGTGAAGAAAGGAGTTAATCTAACGATTAATTATTTTACTTACCAGTTATTGGCTGACATAAACCATCCACACAGCGCTCATCAGGAGAACACAAAATCTACAGAAACTTGATATGATAGAACGTACATCGATCATTATCATAAAAAATATACAATTTAAAATTTCTGGCAGACAAAATCCGTTTGTGAATAAGACATTTCATCAGACATTAGTTTCTGCACATGTTGACGACAGGATTATAACAAGAAATCATTCAAAATCTATACACTTACCAAATAACATGATGTTTGTTGTCGTTGTCCAAGGACGCTAACAGTGGATCCCAAAAGTAAGGCGACAACCAAGTACCACATCTTTAAGGAAATTCATATGGATGAAAGGACAGACAAAACCTATTTTATTGATAAGTTATTTTAAAATGATTATAGAATTAAAGTGTCCATAAAGTGATAAATACATTACGTTAACCACATCAACATTATTATGATATGTTTTTCTTTTTTATCTACTCACTTGCTATACTGTAAACAGGGAAGTTTTCGCCCGTTTAATCTTTGCCCCTCTCGCCCTCGTTGGAAGTGGGCGAAATTAAAACGGGACGAATTCAAATTTAACAGTATACTATCTTAAACAAAAATCTTTCTGGGAGAATCTAAAACGGGGTAAACTTGTTTCCAAATATGAAAAGGCAAAAATTACACGGGGTGAAAATAACCCTGTATACAGTATTTATACTGTATTTAATCGGTTTAAGATGTCAATCCTTTGTTTTAGATTCCGTGCAGAAATTGATTCCTCACCTTT